TATGCAATCTAGTAGTGAAATCCTGACCCCCCTCCCAATCCCTCATTCAAGTGACTCTATTCAGAGACACCAGGATTTGCTACAGAAAAACTCATGCTATAATATATTTAGTAATATAGTTTAGTTCACCAGAATGACTTCATGGAGTATAGATGCATGAGTTTGACTCGAAGCTTATGGATGTGCTCTAACTTAAATCAGACTCAGTTCATCTTATGATCCCAGGTACACCTTGTGGGTATAAGCCAGGGCTGACACCTTGCTCCAAAATCTCCTGTATTTTGACTGGCTGAAGTATCTATGTTCAACCCAAACTTTCACCTGACACACATACAGAGAGTCCCTAGTGCTGGTGTGACCTTTGAATAAAGATACACTTGATGAAACAACTTCCTTGGGGTGTTTTGAGGATTAAAGGAGAGGCAGTAAGATTAGCTACATCAAATTAGTAGTGCATTGCACATAGCAGAAGATGGGGCAGCGTGGTTTAGAGTCATGAGTCTTCATAGGCCAGAACCTGCATTGCCCATCCAGGTCTATGTTATTTAATGTCAACCGTAAACCTTTGGTAACATTTGGTTTAGTGTTACAGCTTCATCTCGCTCCTCCCAAAGGTCAGGAGCTGAGGTGAAAGAGAAGGGGAGAGAGAGTTCAGAGGACCAAATGAACTCAACCATTTATTAGACAGCACATTGATGGATTTAATCATTTAAGCAATAAAGCATTAGATTACAGAGAACAGTCAGTGAAGTAAATTATCTTACCATTTAATGGGAAGGCCAGTGAAGGTAGTGGTCAGTCATCCATGGCTCCTCTCAGCCATTGGTATCAACACCTTCCAAAACCATTCTCAACTTCCCTTTTGATCTCTCCTCTTATACATGTTTACATCAACTACACATAATGTGCATTATTCAGTTAACAAAGACACACTGTTATTTCTCTGGAATCTACCTGATCACATATCATTATTTTCTGCTTATCAAAAGGTGAACATCAAGTTACTGCATCTTTTACTTTTAACTATTATTCATACTTTCAAAAAAACACGCTGGAAAGCACTTGGCCAAGGTTAATTCTGGTAAGCTTCACTATTTCTTTTCCCTTTTTTCTATTTTTCTTTTCCTCTGAAGTTGTAGAAAGTTTTGCTTTCTCAGGAACTCTTCTCAGCTGAAGCCCAGAAGTGGGCCTGAGACTTCTACCATTAGTCACCTGTATGGCAGCTAAAAATGTTTAGCTGCCATAGAGGTGGACTTTCCAGTTTTCTGCTACCCTGTCTTCTGTCCTTTATTGATACAAAACCGGATGCCTTTACTTCCTCTATTTTGCTCTTCAAGAGAAAAACAGTGGACATAAGGGCGTCAGGTTTTGTATCAACAGAGGACAGAGGACAACTATGTTGTCCTCTATGAAGGACACCGTAGTTGGCAGGAGGTCTTTGGGGGGTCAGCCCCAGTGCTGGGTGGCATTGGGCAGCCAAGGGGCTGGCTGGGGCACAAGGGTGCTAAAGTGCAGGGCTAGGCAGCAGGCAGCCCCCACACTATAGCACCCTCTTGCCCCAGCCAGCCCCTGTCACTGTCTACACTTGCATTTCAGCGCATGTAATTACTCCACCTAGTACTGTCTCTGACAGTACGATCCAATGTTGGAGTTAATTTACCATGTCCTAATAAGAGCACATGTGTAGACAGTGATGCTTTACTGCAGAGTTAATTAGTCCCCTCCCAAGTAAAGCACATGTGTAGATGCACCCTCTGTTTACAATTATATTTTATAATAGTGATTAGCCAGAGGTGTTTAGCTGTGTTAGTCTGAAGTTAGGCAGAAGGCAGGGCAGGGTGGCACCTTACAGCAGTGATTCAGAGCCAGGGTCTCTGCTGTGTGGAGATAACCTAAGTGTGATGAAAAAAAGGAGATATACCCAGACTCAGATTGGTCTCTTGTCCCCACTGCCTGGCTCCCCTGCAAGAAGATAAGCACCATGATGAATAAATTACCAGCAGTTTTTGAAATGGGGTGCTGAGCAATTCACAAAAAATATGGAGGTGTGTCCTGAATTTGATGAGGAGTGCCTTAAGTTTAAAGTGGTGAAGAAACATTGCCTTAGAGAGCATCTTGTTAAAAGGGGCATATATTTTTATTGGACTATTAAACCTTATGCTGCTCTGAATCCATTAGTCTCCAAGGCACCACTCTGCCCTGCCTTCTGCTAATAATAATGAGTATTTTTATTTGAAATACCATATTACATCACACCCACATGTATTTATATGTGTCTTGCAAGGTATTCTGGTATAAGTCTTATCAAATTGGATGTGCAATTGTTTTTTGTCCTAGGCATAAATTTAAGTACTATTATGTCTGCCATCTCTGGCCCTGACTAGGCCATTTAAAGATTGGTCTAATGTTAAGTGGAATTTCCAGTAATTTTTGCAGAGACATAAGTTTTGCCCTGTCTTGCTTCCTCCTTCTTGCATATTTATATGGTGAGAGTTTTTGATTCAACAGGATAAAAAACTTTCTAGGAGAGGGAAGAAAAGTTGCATCACCTGTTGTTTCTAAAAATAATTCCTTTATGGGAAAGATTAATGCTTCTTCATTAATCTTCATTTGCATGTGTAGGCATTTTGATCAAAATAATTTGTGGATAGCAAATAAAAGTTTACTTTCACCTTCCCTTCTGTTTTATCTGCTTCTACACTACTTGCTGGCCAGCCATCGTGTCTTCCAGTATAATGTGCTGACTAGCTCCTGTGAACACTGATCCAAAGGCTCTTAGGTATCTCCATGCAATGCATGGATAACTAGGACTCAGTTACTTTTCATTCCATTTATGGGATCACATGTAAAAATGATAGGTACGACAGTCCACAGCAGAACTGTGATTGAGTACCATTTAAAATGTGTGCTTAAAAAACTCATGTACTCTTGAGTCCGATTTAGGTATCTATTTTACCAACCTAAATTCCACCCTACCCTCTTTTTGCCTCTCAGATTGCACCAGAGTTGCATTTATATTAAGGCCCCTTTACTCTGCTTTGGGGATTTATACTAAGGCAAATGATTTGAAGTGATCATAGAAAAATAGAAAACTGGGGTTGGAAGGGACCTCAGGTAGACATCAAGACCAGCCCCAACTAGATCATCCCAGCCAAGGCTTTGTCTAGCCAGGTCTTAAAAACCTTCAAGGATGGAGAGTCAAAAACCTCTCTGAGTAACCTGTTCCAGTGTTTTAGTACTTTCCTAGTAAGTGTGTCCACAGAAGACACTTCATTATGCAGTAGATTAATCTGTGCACTCAAGCATCACAGTCTACACATGTGGGGCATTTACTGTAACACAAATTAGACTATTGTGCATTTAGTTAGTACCTGTAAATACAGGCATTAAATTTATCATGCAATAATTACTGCACATTACCACTCCCATAGATACTGCCTGGGAGCATATCTGTTTCTAGTCAGCCTAGGCAGGTTGATAAGTAGGGCGATTCAGTTCAGATTTGGCCTGAATTGGGGACAGTGATTCGATTTGTTGATTTGGATCACTGTCTCTGATTCAATTCAGCTGAATCCAAATCTGATGATTCAGCGAATCAGTGATTCAGACACAGGCATAGCTTTAAAAGTTTTTTTCTACATACCTTAAGGTAGCAGCACGGCTCGTGTTTGGTGTGGTGCTGGGGTGCATGGAGTGTCCCACAGGAGCATGGGGGGCTCTCCAGCATACTCAGCAGCAACCCCAGAAGTGGATCAGCAGTACTTCTGATCCACTTCTGGGTCTGCCAGGGAGTGCATTGGGGGGCCCCCTTGTGCCACCCTGGCTCAGTGATCAGCCACAAGGGGACCCCAGGTGCCCCCCCCACAGATCCAGGAGGCACCAGTCACCGAGCCGGGAGTGCACCAGAACTGCTTCTGGTCCATTTCTGGGTTTGATGCCAAGTGCACTGGGGAGCCCCTTGCACTCCTGTGGGACACTGCATCTGCCCCAGCATCACAGCGTTCAGATCCCCTGCTACCTAGAGGTACATAGAAAAAAACATTTAAAGACATATCTACGTCTGAATCGCTGAATCTGTCCAAATCTCTCCAAATCAATTCGGAGGGTTTCAATTCAATTCAGAAAGATTAAAGGGTCCTCTGATTCGATTCGGATTCAGAAATTCAGCCACCGAATCACACCGAATCTCCACCAAATTCAATCAGGGACCAAAGCTTTGCACAGCCATATTGAAAGGTGACCATATTTCCCTGATCTCAAACAGGAGATTGTGCTTTCCCTCTTCCCCACTCAGCATGCTGAGCTGGACCTGAGATCCAGTATCAGCTAAGCATACCACACAGCAGAACTCAGGGAGGGTTTTGGTGCGGTCCCAGTTTTGGGGCAGTCCTGGTTTAAACAGGTGTCTTAGGTATTCCACTGAAAATAGGATGGGCATTTCAATGGGACACCTGGGTAGGTGTTTAAGTGGGACTTTCCAGGCAAAAATGGGATGTATGGTCATCCTATGAAGAGACCATATAATGTCCCAAAAATTCATATATAGAAACTTTCCAAGAAAAAGACAGGGTGATTCTTAGGGATTATTAGTTATGCTGCTATGGTTTTGGCCAATTCTCTACACCTCCACCTCTGTTGGCCAGCTAAATTGATTTGTCCTGTTGCAGATCAAGATAAGAGAAATTAAACCTTCAGGGTAATATCATGTTTCAGTTTTCTGTAAGAACACTTTGTGACTTGAGTTCATACAGTTCTTATTGAGCGTGGTATTAACTTATAATGAACAATACATTTCAACAACCCAACAAAACACAACAGTACAGATTAACTCTAAAGAAAAAGACATCTTGGCCCTTCCAAAATATGCAAAGACAGGAAATACAAATTCAACACAACCAACCTGATTTTGGAAGCATGCATGACAAACTAAGCACTCTAGCCAGTCACAATCAAAATGTTATAATACCTGGTTGTGACACTGAATCACCTAGTCAAACCAGGAAGCAGGTGAGCTATATATTGTGCTCCAGTAAAGAAACATACTCACTTCCACAAGCATCTGAACCATGCAGAAGGTATCTCCTATATTCATGGAAATAAAAGGTATTGCTTATATCTATTTTCTGCTTATTTAAATATGGTGATTATTTGGTGTTTTTCAAATGGAGTCTGCTATTTTTGAGCTGCTAAGATAATTACTAAAATATACTGCCCTGACGGAGTTTTAGGAATGGAGTTAACATAGTAAAACAGCACATAGATAAGGGATGAAATAAGATACATACTGCAATTTAAATTCCCATTTGCATACTCTTGGTTTGAGCAGTATTCTGTTTAAGGAAAAGAGTCTGTCTCCCTACCATATCTTTAAATGTTTGTTCACAAGTTGGATATTACCTAGTACAGAGTATCTGCAAGTAAAATAAAGCCTGTAAAATGATATACATTAACTTTAAGGAGAATAAGAAATGAATTTGACTGCCATTTTGCAGAGAAAGATAGAGCTTTACTACATCCATATGAGGGGATGCTATGCAAGGAGAAGGCAGGACTTTCCTCACTGTGGCCTTCCTCGGGAGCTGTAGACATGCCTAAGTGTCTTAGGATCATACATCTTGTCACCCAGAACTGGGATGCCAGTGGTGACTTTGCAGCTTTCATAAACCATGGACACAATGCACAGTGATATATTTTTCTTAGAATATTTTAGAATGAATATTGCCACCACGTTGAAGGAGCGTTTTCAGCCATATTTGCACAATCGGGCTATTTTCAATTTCAGCCATTTCAGGTTATTTTCACATTATGCTTGCCAAAACATTTGTTTTGGATGCAAACATCAGAAGCATGTGAAAACAAGTTACTGCTGCTGCTAGGCTAGCTGCACATACTGCTCTGTACCTGACAATATAAATGTTATTTGCAACAAAATACAAATGTATGACTGCTTGATATATTTGCAGGCAGCTTAAAACTTACCAAAAAATCAATTAGTTTCCCAGGCCAAACTGAATGGGAAAGATCATTTTTAAAGTCGCTAAGTACCTCTCTTTAATCTATAATATAAAGAGAGTCATTCCATTTGGAAAGAGAAATGAAACTTTAGGGTCTTGTTACACGTTAGGCTGTGAGCTGCACAAATGTTGATGGTGAGCAGGGGCAGGACTAGGAGCTGGAGCTGCAAGTTTGCACTAGAGGGCTGGTGAGCCAGGGCAGGCTACTATCTGTGCTCTGGGGCTGGGATGTGAGAGATCCTGCGATATTGGAGAGCTTCAGCAGGGTGGCACATTTGTTGGAAGTGGCTACAACTTCATGGAACAGGGGCTGGGTAGTGCAGATCAGAGATAATCCTGCCCTGGAGTGGCGTAACATTGAGCTGCATAATGAGTGCTTAAAAGCACTTTAAGGTGTTATTGTATGGACAATCCAGGGGTTAAGAGCTCCAGGAGCTGCCCAAGATTATTGTATAACATATCCCTTAGTAAAAATATAAGTGAGTAGTAAGCTTATGATAAAAGTAATGCACACTTATTAGTGTTCATTACAAGAAAAGAAAATGTACCTAGAGGTCAGCATTGGGCAAGGGAATAGTTATATATATAAGTACTTTGGGCCAAATTCTTAAGTAAGTAGTACAGGTTAGTATAGTTGCATTGACTTCAATGGAGCTTCACCAATTCAAACCAGTTGAATACATAGTTCACCGTAAGGAAGCCATGCATTGGCAAAAGACACAACTGCTAGCTACACTGCATGAACTTATCTGTGTCTGAATTTTTTTTCTCTGAAAAAGACTCTTGAGTCTTTCTTTGCAAAAAAAAAAAGAAGAAGAAGAAAAGGCTAAACCAGTCACTCATTGGGTTGTCAGGTTTCTTAAGAGTTCTCAGACCTACCTTGTACATTAACTGGCAGGAAGACTTTTATTTACCTTAAGAGTCGAACAGTCAGGAATTATGATGAAAGGACACAGAATAGACCTAATCTTTAGCCAATTCTAATGCACGTAGTACCAGTTGGGTGTTGGAAATTACCAGCTGTGTTCAGGGACATATACACAGTGTTGTAAGGAGCATGGCTAATGTTTCACCAGCAACAAAAGTGTAGTTTCTTCTTCCCCTTCCTTGCCAATCAACCTGATCTCTTTGAAGATGACTTATGTGAATGCCTTTTCAGTGGGTAGCTATACAGAGTCACTAATGCATAATAAGCAAATATCAGCAAACTCTACTACCATTTACCCAAGAATGAATTAAACTAAAATCAGCACCTCCTCCCCGTCCTTCAAAATCAAACATAAACCTAAGCTAATAATAGCACTATCTGGCATCATACCTTTGCGCTCTCTTGGACCAGGGCTTGGGCAGATTGCCAACAAAACTGAATTCCAGTCCAAGTATGTGCTGAAGGCAGTTAAACCACAGATACTGACAGCCAAAATCTATAAACTGATGCAAAACACCATGACAAGATGAAAGGATCCCCTGATATAACCAGGTCCTGGATCTTCCACAGATTTAAATATATATATATATATATATATATATATATATATGTATGTGTGTGTGTGTGTGTGTGTGTGTGTGTGCATGTGTATGTATGTATGCTTTTAGTTGCTTGCATTGCTCCAAGAACTGAACAGAAATCTAAGCACCTAAGGCCCTGAAACGACACGTGGAAATAAAGCCACCCCAAACTCAGGCCATCAGCATCCAATTCAGTTCAAAACTGGAAGCATTACCCACCATACAGTACAGTGCACAAGTATAAGACAAACTTC